GAAATTCGACAATATTGTCGAATTGCCAGTCGAATTTCGAAAAATTTTGAAATTACACTGGAAAATGGACACTGTCGAAATTCCGTTGGCGAAATTCTTATTGACGAAATTCCACGAAACCTTGTAAACATTGAAATCTAAAAGCGTATGAAGAATGAATGAAGCAAGTTCAGGATGTGTGTGTGTCGAAGTTAGTATTCTCTTCTATCTGATTTATGCCTGCCGTAGGTATTTCGATCTCGATAGAGTCTCTTCGCCGCATTGCAATGTTCAGAGGCAGCTTTTGGTTACTAGTAGCCATCTTGTCTTTTTTCTAGACCAATTACATACCAGTCGGACTCCAAAATTTCACTGGCTAAAAAACATGACCAGAAAAGATTCATAAGTGTACTCAAAATAACTTTATTGGTGGATGGAACGAGTGGTCGTGCCTTAGAAAAGCTAAGAAACTCTAGAAGTGCCCAGCGCAATCAGCATAACAGACACACCCTGCTCAAACTGTACAAGCACGTTCAAACTCCCAGGAGTTATCAATTGTGTAACAATCATGTACAAGAGATTGTTATATGCAACACAGAATCTCCAAGTCATGCCAAAGAAGATATCGGCAACGTTGGGTTTGAACACTGCATAGAATACGATCGGTGCAATCAAAATCTTTTCCTTGTAGTTTATGGAGCACATTCGGATACCAGACTCAAGTATTAGTACTCAGTCGGGAACGAAATGGAAATTCAATAAAAGAACTCTTATTTATTTATTTACTCACCGAGTCTTTTCTTATACTTATCGTACTTTTTTTATCTTCATTCTGCACCGAAAGATAAAGGTAATAAATCTATCGAATAGTTTGCCATTTTTTTTCACGAAACTATTCAAACGAGAGTTGATACACAACACTAAAATAATTTCAATCTGTAATTGCAAAAATCTAGACTCAACTTTCATTTGTACTATGATAATAAAGCGTCATCTCCTGTGTATATCACAATTCACACTCTCATTTGTTCTCATATATTGAAGATAAGTAGAAATTTCTAATTCATATACCACCATCAATCGAATCTTTTATTGCATTTTTATCATTTCATATGCCATATTTTTTATTACACAGCCGCACCACACTGAAGATAAGCAACACAACTAATCAATAGTTTTCTGTACATTATGTGTGCATTTTTATTAAGTTACTAATAGCAACAATGTATTGCTGCAGTTACTTCAGTATCTACAAGCGTTGAATCTTACTTTTATAAATTCTGACAGTTGGCGGTGGAATCAGTCTTGTTGCACGAATCGTATTTTTATTTTTGCCTGTCGAAGTCTCAGATGGTACGGTCCTTGCCGCGATCAATGCGAACCGTGTCATCGCTCCATTAACTGTTGACTGTGGTAGCTCTGCCACAGTGGTCATCATGGTCTGATTTATTCTACGTTTCTCGGCCACATTGCAATGCGATCTTTGTATTTTAAGTTTCTGCTCAATGATTCGTGTAAGTTCGTTGGATGGGCAAAAAACTAAGCATACTAACGTTTTCAGTAATCTTAAAGCTTTTCATCGCTTCATAGCACTCGATTGCAATTGTCCATTCTACAAAGCATGGCCGAAACTTCGATGTCAAGTCCGCTTTACTTTTTTTCATTATATGCTTTGTCTTACGTGGCGTCACCGTCTTATTGTATTGGCGGATCTCAGGTGACGATCAATGATATTAATAGCAGCCTAGGTTTTCAGTTTTCGTTATACTTTTAAGAAGCTCATTATCTTCCTACATGATTGTAACGATTGAGCGTCTTTTACATTCTTCATTTTGTTTGCTAATCTCCGGGTTAGCTGGAAGATGAAAGTGATTTATTTTCGATATTTTCCTTAATTGTTTTTTGTTTTCGACCAAAATTTGGGTGAGTCAACATTCCGTTGTTTCTTAGTATTTTCCTTGTAAACATGTTGAAATGGAAAGAATACAAGAAAGCTTATGAGTTGTTGTATCGAACTCTTTCAACAAGCTCAAAAATATACTTTTCTATGCAGTATTCATTTAAGTTTTGATTCACTTAGAAAAGAGTAGAAGGCTAATAATTCTTATCGAGAGAAGGGTGGGTGTAGGTTGATTAGTTAGTAACCAAGAAAAAACAAATTACCACAGAACTATATCATTCATTGTTGATATCATGTGATTGATAAATATATGTGATAGTTACGAAGTGACAACTACGTTTCGCTGTAAACCGACAATCCTACATAAAGATGCTTCAAATGCCAGTATTTTACGATATAAAAAATGGAGAAAGCTTCAACGTAATTTTCAATAATTGTGATCTCTGTTTACATCCTTTTCTCAATGTCATTTGCCCGCAAATATCTGTATGATATTCATTGGAAGCAAGAAGAAATCATATTTGTTGATAGCGAAATATTACGATCCTCAACGATAAAGAAATCAAACAGAAACGTTCCTAGAAGCCATTGCGCGAAAGAAACTGCCAAAATACGGACCACGTGCTCAATTGATCTCACGGATTTCAATGAAATTTTGTCTATATGTAGCAGTGATTGGATACTCAGTAAAGTACTTGCTACTTTCGATACTTTTACTGAGTACTCTCAATTACTTGAGTACATTCTAATAGTATCAGTAAATTTACTTGTATTGCAAGATTCTACTGAAGCATCAATACTTGTACTAATTTACTGAAGTACCAGTATTTTCAGTACAAAATGCACTTTAATCAGATATCAACATATCCTTATGTATTACTACTTTGCATTCTCAGAAATATATACATAATATTCGTAATATTTTAACCTATACACTATAAATTCATGTCTTTTGAATTTTCCTTGATTATCAGTGTTGATCATTTATATCAATGCTGTTTTATGGTATCTATTTGTGAGACTTGTTTTCTGAATAAAGATGGACCGCCATTTATGAAACTTCTTTGTGGGTGGACATTTAAAAGTAATGTTAAATATAATTCTATTGAAATGTTGAATGAAAAGACACTGGAATTAATTCTAATGAATAATAAAAGCTTTATTGCCTAAGAAAAAGTCAAAAATTGACTGACAAATAACTTCTTCTTACAAAAAAAATAAAACAAGTTAAAAATTAAAAACAAACACCATTAATAATATCTGATAAAAGAAGCAGTTTATGTAAACAAAAGAACCAATGGACAAATTCATAATAAAGCTTGATTAGTTTTCAAAAATACTAAATCTTTAAATAATTGTTCAGTTAATCTGGTGCGCCGTGAAGACAAAATAAGACCAGCATATGAGATAACACGCTCCACAGGAGCAGATGAAGCTTGAACAGAACCAACACGTACTGCTAGCTTTTTCAATTGATTCAGTTGAGAGCGACACCAATATTCAGAAAAGTTGAATCTAATTGGATCGTTTAAATATGCTTCTAATTCAGCAACAGGACTCAATACTATCGGATCATTTGAATAATCACCATAGACATCATCATAAGAAAAAAAATTTCTCTTTTTTGGCGCCGATGATGAAAAAAGTACTTTTATCAAATAATTTCGTTGATGAAACTTTTAAATCTTTATTCATCTCATCAATTATTAATTGAATAACATCTTGCTCTAGTCGATTTTCTGCATTAGTAGATAATTTTAAACCACGAAGCCAAAAGAACTTGAAGGATGGATCAAGAACTGTTGCAATAAAATAAACAGGATCATTGAATGGATCATTTTCTTCAATATTCAATTGATTTATTCGATTAACAATACCAGCAAAGCGTTTTTCGATGGATAATTGAAGTTGTTGAACAAGTTTAGCATCAAATACAACATGTTCTTTTAAATCACGCAACTGAACCATTAAATGAACAATAGCTGGAACTACAAGACTAGTTGTAACAATTTTTTCTGATTGACACTTGATGGATATATCATAGAATGGTTCTAAAATATCAATTATTTCTTGTAGTATTATAAAATCATTATTTGAAAATTTAATTGAATTTTCCATTAATGCAACAATTGACTCAAGATCGTTTTTTCCAATTGTTAAGTACCTAGAAATACCTGGAAATACCCAGAAATAGTTAGAAATACCTAGAAATACCTGGAAATACCCAGAAATAGTTAGAAATACCTAGAAATACCTGGAAATACCCAGAAATAGTTAGAAAT